GTAAAAGAAGAGGCACAAAGTGTGGTTCGTCATCAAAGTTGAAATTACAAAAGAAGATGCATCCAGTGGTTCCCCGCCAATTATGGACCACACTTCATTTTTTTTGGATATGATATTGATACTTTTTGAAATCCATCGTAAACCTAAAAAAAATGATGTATCTCAAGATGCCAATTGCACGAAGCTTCAAATCGGCATGGTAAAAATTATGACATATGCTCTCGCGCTCGTCATGATGAATGATGTGTCTCACAGTTCCAATTGCACGAAGTTTTGAATTGGCGTGGTGAAAATTATGACATATGTTCTCGCACTCGTCATGATGAATGTTGTCTCTCACGATGCCAATTGCACGAAGCTTCAAATCGGCAAGGTGAAAATTATGGTATATGCTCACACGCTCGTCATGATGAATGATGTGTCTCACGGTGCCAATTGCACGAAGATTCAAATTGACATGATGAAAATTATGGCGTATTCTCTCGCACTTGTCATGATGAATATGGTCCCATTGGCTTAAGAGTTTTATGTTGTCTCTCCATGTAGATGATTAAAAAAAATCTCAATCAATAAGGAAATCAATATGCGACTCTTCGATAAAGATGCACAGAAGTAAACAAATGAAGACTTAAGAGTCTATTTTCTATAGAATCAAGTATCTCTCTATTCGAGCTCTCCTACGCCAAGATACAAACATTTTGGTGAGACTCCACAAATCTGCAAAACAATAACGACAGAATTGAAGTGCAACGTCGAAAATTAATTCTCGTCAATCCATGAAGAGTTTTACCTTGATTTTTTGTATATGTTGTAGACTTTGATGTATAGTTTCTATAGAAACAAGTTGCTTGTCGCTTGAAATCTTCTACATCAAGAAAGAGACGTTTTGGTGGGACTGCATAGAGCTATTAAAACAGGAAGACAGATTTGATAGCAAACTTTAAAAATCAATTTCTGCCAATTCATAAAGGTTTTGATTTTGAATTTCAAATATGTCGTGACATTTTGAGCCTACTTTCTGGAACATCAAACGGATCATGATTTGAATGTTTCTACAACAAGTTATGACCTTTCTACCATAGGCGTGTTGTGCTGAAAAAAAGTGACAAAAATTGAGTTCTGCATGCCTCAAATTGATAAATCAATCTTTATAAGAGCATGTGTTTTATAGAAATCAAAGTACATAAAGTGTTTTCTACAAATAATGGAAAATTATGAAGATGGAAAGTTTATTCCTACAAATTATGAAAATTATGGTAAATTTTCATAAGAATTAAATTATGAAAATTTTCCATGAGTCAAATTATGGAGATCCCATAGAAATTAAATTATGGTAAGTCTTCATAAGAATAAATTATGGAAATTTTCCATGGGAATCAAATTATGGAAATTCCATAGAAATCAAATTATGGTAAAGTTTTCTCAGGAGATACATGAAAACAATGTGCCCGAATTAGAATAGACTCGCCTCATGAGAATTTGAATTCCTTACGTTCTATTCAAGTGAAAGCTAAAATTTGTGTCGAAACCACAAGATCTCTATCACCAAGTCAAGCTTGTGGATGCAATCCTTGCTCATTTAATTAGTGAACATTTCGTAGTTGATGATCCAAATAAAATTACCACACTATGAAGAAATGTCATTTGATAAGTCTTCATGAGCTTGAAACACTTAGATTAAAAAATGAGTTGATAAACAACTGAAAGTCAAATGACCTCTTACAAATTAGAGAAAATTGTCATGAAGACTCTTGTAAATGTTGACTTCAACATATCGACATGGTCATTTCTCATGAAGCTTCAAATGTCTCGTGAAAGATAAACTACAATTAAAAAAATATTTCCTTCACAAATACTTCAAGGCTTGTCTCTACAAGTTCGACAAATTGAGCACCCCAACAAGCCTCGAAGTAGGGGGCATTTGTAGACAGTGATTTTTATAGATAAATTCATATTAATTTTGGATTAAATCTTAAATCAGCATACGTTGACCATGTCAAATTTCTGGTTGATAAAGTCGGATTAATATCTAAGTCAAAATTGTATGACTTAAATCAAGTCCAAATCACTTGGCCCAGTCCATTAAGTTGACAAGATGAGCCCAACCCATGTTTTTCAGGCCCAGGGGTCAAAATTGCTCGGGCCAAAATACTCCTAAACCGTAACTCAAGCCTATATAAAGAGGTCTTCTTCTGACCAAAAGACAGAAAAAAATATATACATACAAAAATACATAGTTGCTCTTCAGTGGTGATCTGCAAGTCTTCAACATACAAAGAAGTCTTCGCTCCAAGTGTTGAGCCGCAAGTATTCCGCCAAATCAAGAACATATGTGAAGAGAAGAATCAGGGGATTACATATCTTTTTGAGATATTTTATAAAGATTATAACCTTCACATTAATTCAAATACAAATATTATTGTTTACTATTTTTCCTTTCCTGTTTGCAGTTTTTCAGGGACGAAACTTTAGACGCTTACAAAAACATTTACAAATAAAATATTTATATTTATCCTTAATATTTATAGGCCATAAATATTTCACAAATATTTAGAAAAAAATTAATTACTAGATTGAGGTCTATTATCATTGACTTTTCGACATCTTACAAGTTCTCTGGCTAAATGATAGCTCGATTTTTAACATGATGTCAAATAATTTTATTTGATTGACTAGTAGTACATACTAGAGTAAATCTATTGCATCAATATCATTCATACAAAATCATTTATAAAGATCTTGCATCTTTCAAGTGTAGTTGTCTAGTGTTAAGGTCGTCCGGTTCAAAATGAACATTTTTTTGGATTACATATCAAAAGAAACTTTTCCTAAAAATACATATCAAAATGAATTTTTCACCCATAAATGTGCGAACAGTCAACCCATACGATTAACTTAGTCTAATACACTCTAAATACTCTAATTAAGATAGTAAGCCCACAAATAAATGAGCTATAATTCTTTTTATTATTTTTCTTAACTTTTTACTTGAAGGATGTCTCTTATTCAATAATAAATATGTGTTCTTATTCACTTCATATTTTTCTCATTCATCTTTATCTTCTTCAATTAATATTATATTTTGATCTTTAAAAATTGATAATCATGTCTCAAAAAAATTCGAAAGGTTTGTTTATTCAATTGAAATGAGATGCATATAAATTCGAACAGTAGTTCAAGTTAATACCGATTTATAAGTTGAAAAGATCTTTTTTAACAGTAGGAAATATAAATAGAGGAATATAACTATGCTTCATAAAAACCTAACCAAAATTTGTGGATATCAATTTACATATATAGCATAATGCATGAGTTTTTATTTTTTTAATCTTTCATTCGATATCTGATATTCACATTAAAGCCTGACTGAATTCGAAATGGAGCTTCTTAACATCTATTCCCTTTAATTTTGGGTGTGTACAAATTGATACTTAAACTAGTATATAGAACAAAATAGACGATACATCCTACGTGATGTCCTACCTAAGCATTTGTGTCCTACATGACATCCTATGTGTATCGTGTCATATAAAATACATGTATTTGCTTATTCAACTTTATATAAAATTAACTTTCTACTCGTACACACTTAAAATTGAAAGACATAAATGACAGCCGAAATTAAATTAAATAACACATGTAGGGATGACAATGGGTGGGGCGGATGCAGGATAGGGTGGGTCTAAGGCTATGCCGGATGAAGTTTAAGGTTGTGTGGGGCGGTGTTTTTTGAAATTAATGTGGGGGAAGCCGGTATATGTGAGTTTATGTGGGTTCAAACTTAATTTTGAACGTTTTACATGTTATAAGAGCAATATAACATTATTTATTAAGATAATTTCTTTACAATTACTAAAAAAATTCAAGATAGTAAATGAAAATAGTTTAATAAAAAATAATACAAGTTCTTACATATTTCCAAATTGACCTTTAAAAAATAATTTTTTTTAAGTCATTATCTATTAAATTAATGAAAAAATAAATTTATTTTTAATATCAACTCACCTAAAAAAGAAAATATTAAAAAAATTATACGAACAAATCTATATTGTGCTGGTTGAAAATGAAAAGTTATTATGCGAAACTATCAAAACTTTCAGAGGTGAATCTCAACCCGCTCTGCACCACCCATTGCCAACCCTAAACAATGAGGGGTCGTTTGGTACAAACATTGATAGTGCAGGGATTAGTAATACATGAATTAGTAATGTAGGGATTAGTAATACATGGATTAATAGTGCAGTGATTATTTTTTGTCAAGTGTTTGGTTCACTACTTTTCACTTAATTTTGTGTTTAATTTGTAATTCTACAAAAAAAATTCTTTCCTATTATACTCTTGTGTTATTATGAGTGTTTATTTCATGAAACTGGGTCAAGGTAGATAACTACCGGACCGGATAATTTTTTAAAAGAATTATTTATTCCATTTAATTAGTTAAATCAAATACATATATATAAAATTGTTATTAATTTTAAGGTATGATGTACCACTAAGAAGATCAGTGATGACACAATGTATTTCTAATTTTTTGTGGGTTAAGTATATGTCCTAAACTTAACATAGATTTAAGACTACTTAAATTGTTAGTACCTAAAGCTTATTTTTATTTTTATTTTTAAAACAATAGTTCAAGTGGGTAATTGACAAATTATCTTGAATATAAAAAAAATCAAGAAAAAAATATTAGTAAAATCATTAAATCATACCAAACAAATTTGGAGAATTAAAAAAGAACATTTATAACCACTATAATATAAATAAAAAGGAAATTAAATTACAAAAGAAATTTTAAAAAAAAGGAACAAAGGGTTAGTTTAGTCATTTATGAATCTTATCCAATGTTTAACAAACCTTGAATTAGTTATCCCTCCATTTCTAAGGGATAAGATAATACCACATATGATGGATAAGCAATTCATGGACTAAATTAGATGAAGTAATCAAACAATGTATTAGCTGAATTAAATTTTAATCCATAGATTATTCTACCTAATACCGCCTACCAAATGGGTCCTGAATGTATTATACCATTTATATAGTTTGATGATTTGTTTTTTGATAATTAAAAACCCACAAAATTAATTTGATTTTGATTTTAGTGCAAAACCATCCAAACTGAACCATAAACGGCCTGCCAGTGTACCCGGTATAGTCAGTACCAATTATATATATTCCCCTTTTTCTCTATAAATTCAAATCCCAAGTCCATGATAGTCACAAACCCCTCCGATTTTACGCATTCCCGCCATTTCCTCTCCCTCACTACCATTTGCTCTCACTGAAATTTCGCTTCTGCATTTACTCGCTTTCCTGCTTAACCCTACGTACTATAGATTCCACAAATGGAGGCGTCGTTTGCACATGATCGAGGTAACAAATAATCATTTGCTACACTTTCATACTCACAATTAAGTTTGTTCGATTATCTATCTGCATTTTTGATGTATTATTCTATAGCTAAAGTTTTATTTCATGCAATTTGTTTTTGTGTTTTTGAACTGTCATGTGTGAAGATGGTAACGAGCAATCGCAGATAAGATCATCTATACCTGAATTGGCAGAAGAGGAAGAGTCCATGGTAAGTACATAACAAGCTTGTTTGGAGTTCATAACCTGTGAAAATTGCTTTGCAGAAAGAAGAATGTATTTGACTTTTGAGCATCTATGTTTAATACATGTTTAAGACAAATTTGTCATCTGTTTGGTGTTGTGGACAGGGTACATGGATAAGCCAATTTTAAAATTAGTTGTCAACTACCTCATTAATGTACTGATCCTACATTGCATTATGTAAGTAAGCATCTGTTCAGCGAGTAGATACAGAAATCTGCTTGAGAAAGCAGATATTGGATTAGTCCTAATTACTATAGATTGTTATTGTGTCTGTTTATAGAGAAGTTAAATAATCAAATGTTGTTTGAATCAACAAATGAGGCTTTATTATAAGTTCATGTTATATGTTAATTTAATATCTGAGAAATTTTAGCCCGTGGATCGTCCAATTTTACATTGCTAAATAAACTAAAGCATTTGAAAGTTCTTGTCAGGACATAGCACGATAAGTTTAACTTCCATTGCCTGTTTGTTGATAACTGAAAAGTCTGTTTTAGATGATAATTTAATAGATATGATGTAACTTTTTGTTTACCACTCACTTTGGAAAGTTGAAACTCAATGTCTTCTGTTTATCATTTTCAAGTCTTTGCATGGTGGTAATGATTTACTTGATGTTCACAAGAATTATGCTTATTATGTTTTGGAACAACAATATTGATGCTTGCTACACTCACAGGCAGAACATGCTTGCTATTTCACTTCTTGAAGCTTTACTTGAAAAATCCCAGTTCTCTTTCTTACATTCAATCTAATGATATACAATTACAAGTGACCAAACATATTTAATTTTTTCCATTGTGGCTCGTAATGCAGGTTTATATGGCATGTGTTATGCACGGACACAGGTGATTGATGACGTTTACGATTCTGTTAAAATGTCGGCAGTTGCTTTGGGGCCTTCATGAATGAATGGACTTAAGGGAGAGAAACAATGATAATAACGATATACACCATCTTCATATGTTATATATATCTTTGAAAACAAGACTCAATCTGATAATTGGATTGTATCATTGATATTGTAGTAAAAATAAGAGGGAGAAACAGTCAATAAAAGGAAAGGGAAATCTTTTTCTTGAGCTTGATTGTGAAAAAAATGCCTGTAGGACGGGAAAACAAAAAAGAGATGCTAGCAATAGAGTTGAATGTTGAATTAGTATTTGACTAATAATTAAACTATTCTTCAAGGATTGGAGTTTCCTATTACGATGCCAGTGCACGCCAACTCCATGTGCTGGAAATCTATGAAGATGGAAGTCATGATTTTTCCTTGGTTGATATGGGTATGAACTCTTGTTTTACATTCTTGAGGAAGCATTAAAGCTCCCAGAGAATATTCGATAGAAACTTCTATAAAGTAAACTTGATTTCTTATCTTATGCATTTTATATGACGTTCGCTGAAAGTTGGACTCTTTTCAGTTAAATATCAGGCTAAACCTGGAACAATCTATACCAGTACTAAAAGTGAGGAATCATTTTTGGCAGCCTTACAGAGAAGTGGTATGTGTTCAGATTATTATTGGCATGTTGATCTTTCTACTTGTGGAAACATTATATATACTCTGATGTGACACAGATGGTACAAGTGATGCTCCTTCTGTAAAGCTTGTGAAAAGTTCATTATTTAGCCATGAGCAAGCATGGCATAGGTATGAAACAGTGGAAGAGTTTTTCCACAGATTTCATTTTCTTTATTTCCCATTCTTTTTGTTTGCTCGTCCAAGTTGAATATAGTTCTGGCATTGGAAGTTGGTGCATTAAAAGCAGTAATTATCTGGTAAATCATATGAGATTCAGATGTCACTATAAATGTTTGTACGGGCTGATATAACTACTACATGACACAAACTATCTCAGTGTCCTTTCAGTTGTTCATTGGACAGTAAAGTACCTTAGGAACATATTCGGTAGTGGATAATTTCAGAAGTAGGATTTCTATCTTTCTTTTTTCATAGGGGAGGTCAGCCTTAGGATTGAAATGTTCTTCTCTTGCATATGGAGTTCTATAGGTAGATTATTACCATGGTAGAGGGAATCAATGCACACCATATTTATCTTTTCTAATTTGCTTCATCAACTTATAGGTTAGCATTGTGATTTTATGGATTGACCTGTTTCTCAGTGTTTTTTTTGAGAATTTTATCATGGAGGCTGTTTTTGGATCACAGATTGATGTACCTTCAAGTGACAGGGATGGATGATGGTTTGAACATAAAAGAGAGAACTGCTTTTGTGAGTCAAACGGGTTACTGCCTCAATTCTATGCATCTTTATATTCTCTGAATACGTGTTTCTTCTTGTTGACACAAGGAGTGGAGTGGTTACACTAGGTGCTATATTGTTGTTTCTGCCAAATATGGTGTCCTATGGTTACCACCTTGGTTTGATAACTTCCTGAGACAACAATATCTTCTGTTCAATCTGTAACAATTACAACTAAGAATAGTACTTATGAACCCACATACATATAAATATTATAGGTTCTTCAAGTGAATGATCATGCAATATGGATTCTCCAGTATATCTTTTAGCAAAGTGGGGATAGGTTTGATTGATACTTCCAATTCGAGGGGAGTGGTAAGGTGCATAGTAACTCATTACACTTGTAAAGAAAGGTGCGTACTAACACTTACACATTCGTATTTAACAAGAGCATTTGTAGAAGAACGGTATTACTAGAATGATTAAGAGCGAGAAAGAATGAGTAAACATAGTAATCCCTACCTTCTTTTATTGTTGCTGACTTGGTCCGTGATGTTTGGAAACATTGTCTTGGTTGTCATTGCCCAACATGCCTCAGAAAGAGAAACAAAAGGAGAAGGCAGCTCTTAGAGGAAACATGACTTGGATATAAGCAGGATGGTCATATGGATTTCCAGAGCCATGTCATCATTTACCAATTACAACGTTTGTGTAAGTTAGAAGTTCTTAGCCAAAATACAAATAACATTGAAGACAAGGGAAGAATTCTCCCTTGGACAATACTTATCAGAAAGCATCTTTATCTTCAGCACATGCTTTAGTGTCCCTGCTATCTGATAAAAACTGTAGGAAATCATCTCTTCTTTGACAATACAGTTGTATTGTTGCCATCGATACTTGGATTAAAATGACCCAGGTTCATTGAATCGTTAGAAAATTCTGTTGATTATTGGGATTGCTAGAATCACCTGTCAAATCTTAAATATTTTCATTTTTTCAAATTGTTGATCTACACTCGTATAAGAACTTTGGTACACATATGCTCCCAATTTACTCATCTGTTCTCATCAATCTAATATTACTAGATGTATTTCCAATTAGTTTTTGCTGATCTTGTAGAACTTCACAACATAACCTGGAGTTGTTGGCTCCATGTGAGGGGATTATACAATTAGAAAATATTATGAACTGCATTGTGGATAAGGTTCTGTGAAGTATTAAGAACAAGTGACATACTCAACTTTTAGTCCAGAAGTCTACAACAATCTTATCTTACAACATACTTTTATCTCAGCCTACTTTGGATGCTTTGATACTTAACTACTTCAATACTTTCATGCATGTGCAATGAGTTCTTTTTATGATTGTTGATGCAATAAAATGCAACATAACAACAACAACGCCTCAGTCCTAAACAAGTTGGGGTCGGCTATATGAATTCCCACTTCCATTCAAGCTCATTTACATCATCTTTATACTAAATAAATAAAGCTGATAAATAAGTTAAATAATAATAATAAAATAGTAATGTTAGAAGTTCTCTACAAAGTCTAAAACCAATCCTCAACTAGTAGCAAGCACTAAATTGATATTTTTCTTCCATTGTGCCTATTTTAGCTACATCTATATTGATGCCAAACATATGCAGGTTTCTCAGGACAACTCCCTTCCATGTGATTTTAGGTCCACCCTATCCCCTTTGAACACCTTCACACTAATCATAATTTCACACCTATAGACTGGTGCATCGGTAGGTCCGATGCAGAACATGTCCAAATCATCTCAGGCAATCTTCTTGCATTTTACCCTCAATACGTGCTACTTTTAACTTCTGGTGAATGTGGTCGTTTTAAATCTTATGTAATCTGGTATGACATCCATCTTAACATTCCATCTCTGCAACACTCATCTTGTGGATATGTTGGAGTTTAACATCCCATCATTCAGTATCATATAACATTGCTTGTCTTATAGCTGCTCTATAGAATTTAACTTCCACTCTGGTAGGCGTCGTTCTATCACATAACACTCCGGTGGAACTTCTCCACTTCAACAATCCAACTTTAATCCTATGAGTAACATCTTCATCGTCGTTGTACTATCTTGAACGATTTCTGAAAAATAAAAGTTTATTTTATAGTATACTGTAGGGATGTTTTATACAGATGTTGAATGCAGTTAGAAATTTAACTAATCATTAACTAGAAATAGTTAATTATATGGTGAACTGATATTTTGGAAAAAGAAATATCAGGAACTGCAGTGGCATCAAAACTAACACTTGACTTCATTTGGACCTTAAACTCTATGGGGTTTATCTTGGCAAATTTCTGTGCCCATAGCAAGTAGACTTCACCAATATCCTTCGTCTTGCTATAGAAGCTCCTTCTTTTCCAATATTATCCCAATAATTGCTTTCAAGTACAAAACTATCAATATACAGTGTTAAGAATCTAACACTTGGCTGATATCCTTGTTTCCAGTTTTGCTTCAGTAGCATTTTGTTGTCTTCTTTAACTGCAAATTTAGTTGCTCGATCTCGTGATTGGCAACTCAAGCCTGATATCTAGGTTATTCAGGTCTGCGAGTGTTTAGGATATGTTTTTTCTGGTGCAGTATCTTTTACTTTAGTTAGGCGTAAACCTTTATCAAAAACAAATTAGCTATGCATAAAATATTCTAGCAAAGAATGAATGATGGTTCAATTGCTTACTTCAATCTTATTTTTTGGTCGCTTAGTAGGTTACATCTCTGTTTCAACAAATGTAGTCTAAAGATTTGTCTCTTTCCGAAATTGCAGCTAAGTTCTATGATGGACGTCAGCAGTGATGTTCAAGTTCGTGCAAGTGGGGGCCTGTTAGCTGTGCTGGAAAATGAGCGGATCATAGACACCCTTGAACTAAATGAATGTGGGAGTGCATCAGTTGCAATTGACTGCATTTGCGAGATTTCTCTGTATCTTCTAAGCTATAAGTTTTCTGGAATTACTTATCCTTTTTTATTTCATTTCTCTCCGTATTCATATGTCTCTGTTTTGCATCTGGGATAAAATTTGTGCAATGTTGTTGTTCCTTGACTATCACATTAAGTGACAAATTTCTCAAAGTTGATTCAGCTGCTCATGAAGCATTACAAATATTCCAAATAGACAAGCATCCGAGCCATATGGGAATAGGCAGAGCAAAAGAAGGGTTAATGATGCACCACACTCTCTATGTTTAGTCAACCATGGAAGTTTTGACTAATCAAAAATCTTATGCAGGTTCTCTGTATTTGGGATGATGAATAAGGTTTGAGGATGATGGCAGTTTTAAATCTGTAGCCATTTGCTTTGGTGGCCCTTAAGATGCTGTGAAATAACATTGGACTAATATTTGCTTACTTTTCTCAGTGTGTAACCCCAATGGGTAGACGTCTCTTGAGGTTAGTTTTGTTTGAAACAGTGTGATGTGGACTTGATTCCTTCTGGTCTAATAGTTATCTTTCACCAGGAACTGGTTTCTGAGGCCTATATTGGATCTTGATAACCTGAATCGGCGTCTTGATACTGTATCCTTACCAAACTTTTTGACATGGAAACCATTTTCAGTACTGCAACTGAAAAGTTTTTCTTACATCAAATTCAGGATCTGAATAGAAGAGGGTTATATTTTTTGTTGGGCACTCTCAAAACTTGAAACACCGATAACCATGAAACATTGTGACTTCCTGTGAAATTGATTTTAAAATTATAAAACACATAAAAATGATTCTTTTCCCCATGACTTTCGAAGATATCTTTCTTCCTGTCCGCTGAAGAAGTTTCGGTCTCTTTACGTGAAACACTGAAGTCTGTAAAAGATATTCCCCGCATTCTCAAGGTTCAGTTTCCTTTGTCTTTTTCTCTTCCTTGTACTTATTTTCCAAGTTCTGTCATTGTGTTTTCTTGTAGTGTCAGTCAAAGAAACAGTCTTTCAGAATAAGTAAGAGGATGGAATTCATAGTGGGACGAAACCTTCTGTTTGTTCAAATTTTGAACTATTTTCTTATTCCAAATGCATAGAAGTATATCAAACTAAATCACAATCTATTTCTTCAATTTGTGTGCATATAAGATGGGCTTTTCTGTACATGCCTCAAGCCTGATAGAAACTGATTGTCTGTTTGATGCAAGTTGTACTCTCTTTGTAAAGAGTTTGAAAGCATTGTGTTATTATTAGCTTTCATTCTCTTTTCATCTTGTTTCTTATTTTTTTCCTCCTTTCCTTGCTTCTGCAGAAATTCAACTCTCCAAGTTCTATATCTACAAGTGCAGACTGGTCAGCTTTTCTGAAGGTAGATATGTTCTCATCCATCAAGATTTCTACTTCAAAGTATTTGAAGTTTATAATTATATGCCATTTGAGCTAAAGCAGTACAATATTTAGGAACAAACATAGATGTATGTTGGGTCATGGGAGTGCCATGTCTAAAGTTTCATTCAAGTTTTTTGTTTAGACTAGAAAAGTAGCATTGCATGTTTATTGCCCTTCATCATTTACCTGAGTTTGAGCATTATACTCGCTAAGCATTTTATCACTGGTCATTAGATGTACAGTAAAACCTCTTTAAATAACTATAAGCGGGATCATGAAATATTATTATTTTGTAGAGATATTATTTAATCGATAAATTAATATTATTAATTTAAAGAGTGTTTCCACACCGAAATCTCAAAGAATTTGAAAGAATCCACTTGTGAAAACGTCATTCATGAACTTGAAATCATGATTCATGATCTCGGTTACCGCAATAAAGTGGACGTTAATAACCCTATTGGATGGGTGGAAATAATGTATATTAAGATGTACAGTGCTTAGAACAAACTGTGGATATCATTGGAAAAACAATGTTGATGATAAAGTTGATGATGATACAATACCTTTTGCACTAGTTAAATGTAAAGAAACACTTGCATTAGAACTCTTCACAATTTTATGGTGCAATTAGAAAAGACAACACCAAAACTTTTGGATGCAATAAGAAAAGTTTAAAGATGAGCTTCATCTAGATTTAAAGTTTAACAAAAAACAGAACATAATAGAATCATATTTCATTAAATTTTTCTTATATATATATTTGTACTTTTAAAGAATTATTAATCATCATATATTATTATAAGAGAGAACAAAAAAGTTAAAAGTTGAATTACAATTTTACCCTTACTATAAATTAAAATGTTATAAAAGCATTTAATTATTTAGTTTAAATGTTAAATTGTATCATTTTAATAAACATGTAGATGACTTTTGCATTTTCTTAAATTAATTCTTAATTAAAATATAAACAAATAATTAAATGTTTGGAATGTGAATATTTTAATTGTACATGTATATCCTAGAATAATTACTGGCATATGAAAAGAGTGACCCCCCGTTTATTTGATTAATGCCACTGATTTTATTTATTTGATTTATTATTACTAAGATATTAAAAGTGTGTTATTATATATGAATGAATTAGCAATAAATTATTAAGATGACTTGTAATTGCCTCATTTATTACTAATTACAATGATTTGTGTTTTTCATCTTTTTAATTATTTATTCAAACTAGACTAGATTCCAAGTTCAAAGCAATAATTATTAGTGGTAATGTTAATTCTCTTATTAAGTTTAACTATGATTTGTATTTTTCATCTTTCTATCTATCTATATATTAAAGACTATTATTTAGAACTGAAAAATATAGAATTTAAACAGACATTTTTACTACTATTTAGGAACTAGAATATAATCATTGAAAAATAAAAGAAATTGTCATTCAACTGATAATCAAAAAACTATTCCATCTATGATGGGCAAAAAAGCCATGAAAAAATAGTCTTCTTTTTAGACATGCCTAAGTCCTCATATCTCTTTCGATATATATTCTCCATCATGAAGATTATAGTATGTAAGCTTATATGTATTAATTTTAAGTTATAGAATTTTATATAAAATATAAAAAAATGAATTCTTGGAATTGAGTACAATGATTATTTTCTGCACAATTTGTATATGTTTGATATAACTGGACACAATAACTTCGAAGGAACATAAACACCCGAGTTTAAAATATGTACTCAGAAATAACAATTAATATCATAAGCATATTAATGACTGTAAAAAAATTACCAGGATGTGTAAAAATATAATGAAATAGAAAGGAAAAAATCGAGTCCACTGAATGTACAGTGTCCCCTTAAGAAAATTACTCCCCTCTAATACTTGGGGTTCAAAAAATTAGATCCTCTCAGGATGAAATGATTTTATTCACCAACGTATTGATACAAAAACAATGGTGTTAGGAAGCCACTCAACAAGATTAAAGTACATGAATATTTAATTGTGCAGAAGAAGAAGAAAAAGTTCATAATTTTTGTTGTTTCAAAATGAGAGGAAATCCCTTTATTTATAGACAACAAAGGGTAGTGTGAACAAATGCTTATTGTGCCTTACGGAAAGGTCACAACTCTTTGGAAAAGTCACAACCCTTTAGATTGGTCACCACCATCTTTCATAAAAGTCGCAACTCTTCATAAAAGTCACAACTTTTCTTAAAAGTCACAACTTTTCTTAAAAGTCACAACTATTCATGAAAGGGGAAGACTAGTTTTGGAAATTAATAAACTAAAACGGAATCCTTGTTTGTGATGGCGCCACGTAGGAGGGCCTAAGGTTCTCTTTTGTGTGTGTGTATATATATATATATATGATTTTATAAAGATCTGCTAGTCAATAATAGTAGTAACTAGTTATTCTTTAATGTAATTCCTTTACATAGTACATACAATCTCTTTACGCCGAGCACGAGTCTTTTGGAAAAATTTAAAAGGATGTGTCCTTATTTTACAAAATATCAAGTTCTACAATTAAATTCTTTTTGGAATCCCAAATCGTGTTTTTTTCTTTTGGAGAATTGGGGATTTGAAATCATAATTTCAAGTTGCATGTCCAAACGTTGATTTGAAATCTTTATCCCAAATTGCATATTCAAAGGTCTACTTATAGCTTGTTTGGATTGACTTAAAGTTGGTCAAACCTATGTTTAAGTAACATTTAGCTTTTGAGAGTGATTGACAATGTTAAAAATAAGTTTATAATGACTCAAATAAAAGTTAAAAACCAAAAGTAGGATTCTCCCTATTTTTTATTTTTTTGCCTCAAAAGTCATTTAAGTGTAACTTTTTATTTTTTTGACTTAAAAGTTACTCTTTTTTTTTTTTAAAAACTAAACCAAACGGGCTCTAAGTCTTTGACCTCAAACTAGCACATCAGATGAGATAGGAGTGTCATTGTCGTTTCCTTTGTCCCCTTTGGGGATAACCTTTTTGCTTCTAAATCTAGATTATTACTTGCTTTATTAGTCCCCATTAGTATGCTTTACCCAGATTTGAGAATTCAATTTCATGCAGAGTGTGTGCGCTCTCCTGCATATAAGCAAAATATTTGAAGTTGGCATTTCTGGATCTCTGCTAGAAGAGTTGACGTCTTTGGACCTGGATATTATTGAGAGGGTATCTAATTAATGTTTAAACTTCACCATAATTAATATATTCCACTATGGTTTCTATATTTTACAACCGTCCTTATCTACATACTCAGCTTTCTCTTTATGCAGGCTGGATTTTTCATTTCAGTTGATCTAGCCTATGTCTGTGAATTGGTTAGTATCGTATTGGTATAATACTAGTTACAATATGTAAGGCTCTTACACTGTGACTTGATTGGGTAGGAATAGCTTCACAAATAGAAGTTTGAAATCTATGTAGAAAAATCTTTTGTTTTATCGTCCAAAATTGGCAACTTGATACTACGGAGAAGCCAAAAAGATAAATGAGCATTGCTTTTCTTCTAGAAAATTTCCATAAGTTTGACCTCCATCTCTGCCCAAGAATGCATTTATTTTCTGGTTTTAGGTAAGGAAATCTGGCGACTCATATTCTGGGATGTGAGAACTTCTTCAATCAGTGACATTTTATATTGGATATTGAATTATGATCAAGCCAAATGATTTTTGATTTTCACCCATACTCCTCCTTTCTTTCATAAAGATATGTCTAATTTCTTGTGGGTAGTAATAGTACCATTACCACTCCATCAGGAGCTTTTTTACATGTGTGTGTGCCTGTAATGTGCAGGTAATTGGTGTCATTGATGTTGATCGAAGTAAAGAGAAGGGTTATGAGACAATAGTAAAAGAGGGTTTCTGTGATGAGGTAGGGTATGCTGCTGCAGTAACTTGTGGGTTTAATATCTTCCCTGCATTGGTTTTGGCATCATCTTTTTCTTTATGGCATTATGAGTGTAATCTTGTTTGTCTAGCTGGATGAACTGAGGCAGATATATGAGGGATTGCCAGAATTTCTGGAAGAGGTTCTCTAACTTCTGATTTTTCTCAACTTAAACCACTTGCTGTTGAAGTTAAGGCTGCTCGCTATTGAATTTGATATTAGTAGTTCTTTGCAGGTTTTGGCGTTGGAACTTGCACGACTTCCTTGCATGTATGAAGACAAGGGGCTTCCTTCTATCATTTACTTACATCAGATAGGTCTGTTCACCCTTTAATGTTTCATAGTTATAATAACTTTTTACCTACTATGGTGATTCAACTTTTAAACTGATAACTGCTGATGCCCAATTAGATCCTTGGGGTGCTTCCTTTTTCAGGTATCACTCTCACTTGTATATTAAACTGTATCTATCTTTTAAATCCTTTTCCCTTTTTTAGGAACTTGGCCATACCTTAAGAATGTTGACAGCTATTTGCTTTTGATTAGGCAGTTTAATATAACATGGAAGATACTCTATTTTTTTTTGATGACAAGGAAACCCGCAACCGCTACCCTTTGGGTGCACACAGGGTAAAACCCCCACTCCTATGCAATAGCTCGCAAACCACATAGGAGAGGTAGCCCGCACTAGGCAAGCCTGGTGCGACGAGCTTGACCCAGAAGGCAAACCCCTTACTTTTGCTAGCAAGAGGTTTCGAACTTGAGACCTCCAACATTGGAAGTCCCTAGTTCAAACCATAGGGCCACCCTGAAGGGTACATGGAAGATACTATTGCTATGAAAAATGAAGGCATAGGAGAATATTATTGAGTTGCATGTTAACTATTGTCTTACATTGAGCCCTATATATATATAGAATGTGTGTGTGTGTGTATGTGTCAAGCTAGTGCATATAAATCATATGTACCGTGCTTGAATTGTAACTAATACTTAGATAATTGAGGTACTTGGCAAAGATCTGCAAGCTAGTTGTTGGACTTCACCATTCTTATAACAATATTTCTCTAGAGAAGTGAGAGTCTATCTCAAAACCTTTTTTCCTTTCATGGAACACTAGATTTGATGGAACTTGAAGGGTTGCTTGATTATCACATATCCATCTGAGTGATTTTTCCAAATTTCAACTCTTTTAGAAATGATTTGATCCAAACTAGCATACAAGTTGCCCACATCCATTTCTCAATATTCTGCTAATACACTAGATCGAGCAACGACATTCTGTTTCTTTCTCCTCCAAGACACCAAATTACCTCCTACTAAAACACAATATCTGGACATAGAATGTCTATCATAAGGTGATCCTGCCTTATTAGTGTCTATGTATCCAATAACTTGCTCATATGCCTAGATCCTCAAAGAGTAGTCCTTTGCTTGGGGCTGATTTTATGTATTGAAGGATGTGGACAGTGATATCCTAATGAAAATCACTGGGAGAGTCCATAAACTGGCTTACAATACTCACATGAACTAAAATGTCAAGTCTAGTCATTGTGAGATAATTGAACTTACCAATCGTTGTATCTTACAGACTCAAGATGCTTGAAACTCTCTTTTATGGATGACCGTGTATCAAGCCGCACTTAACGCCAATCGTACTGTTAAATCACAAAACTTGTACTTCAAGTATTCTGACTTGATCTTGATCAACTTGAACCCTTTAGACTCTGGGGTCTATCTCCAAACTCCAGCGTAGCGTTAACTCTGTGGTGAGTCTTGTCAATCAGAATTATGTCATCCACAAAATACAAATAAGGTATGCCATGAAACGTTACCTTGCATATGCCGCATCAATCCATCCAACACCAAGGCAAATAAAAAACGGCTAAAGGCTTATCCTTATGCAACCCCATCAAAACCGTGAAGTGCTCTAAGTCTTCTCCCACTATCCTTACCTGAGTCTTTGCTCCGATCCATCTGTCCTTGATCACCCTAATATACACCTCTAGCCTCCAATCATCTCTAGAGAACTTACCTTTGGACTTTGTTCCAACGCTTTCCAGGTTGATGAACACCTTATGTAAGTCCTTCCTCTCCATGTACTGGCACTGGTCTCCTTACGAGATGAGTTGCTTCTGTAGTTGAGCGTCCCTCCATAAATCCGAACTAGGTCTCAGAAACAGCCAGGCCCCTCCTCACCCTCTATCAAACCATCTTAGTGACTTAGCAGCTTGATACTACTATAGTTGTTATAATTCTGAATGTCACCTTTGTTCTTGTATAATGGAATCATTCTACTCCTTTCTCCATTCTTCGGGCATCTTTGCCGTCTTGAAAATGACATTAAACAACTTCATGTACAAAAATAGATCTATTTTTCTTTTTGCAATCGTACTTGAGTGATCGAAGTAAATGTAGAATTTGCATCTCATTTTGAATACCTAATCTATCTGAATAGGTAAATGATAGTATAAGCTAGCATATCATCTTTACAGCAAGCTACATAGCTGACTGTTGATTAGGGACATATTCATTCAGTACCCGATGATCTTTGATACTTGGCTGTTGCTGCTGAACCTGAAAAAAGTTTCTTGACCTGATAACTTTTGTATTCTTAATGATCTAACATGGAGGGGGAGCATCATCGTTGTAACTGCAAATCATTGACCACTAGGTCACACCCTTGGTGCAATTTGAGACCTATATAAACTGCTTGAATGTAATGAGATATGTAAACCTACTAAAGATTCAGAGCAAGATGAAAAAAGTAGAAACTGGCTGAAATGGAAAAGTGTTCTGTATTGTTTTCCAGTTCCGAGAGATGTCATGCATCTTGTCTCACTGTGCTAAGTTTACTCGCATCTGTTGACATTAGTCCTGTCAGTTTCAGAGAGTTTCTACTTGCTATCTTCTTTGTCACAACTATCAAACCTATGATAAAACTGTGCATCTATTGTTGTGATCAATATCTGTGAATTTCACTTACAGGTTACCTAATGTGCATTTTCAATGAAAAACTCGGTGAAGAAATGCTAGAGACTCTTCAGGACTATGAGTTTGCGGTATGACATTGTATGATTTATAAAGCAGTGTATGGAATCACTAGATGTCTTTCGATCTATATTAATAATGGGTTCTCAAATGTCCAGTTTGCTGATGAGGAGGGAGAACATAGGAGGTTCTTTTATCATACTGCAAAGACAAAAGAAATGGATAACCTTCTTGGAGATATATATCATAAAATCCTGGGTATGTATTCCTTCTTTCTTGTCCTTAGCTTTCACAATTATACTTCTCAAAGACTTGGCACTTCTTATTCCCAAAAAGAAAATCAAAATGGAATATGGTTCATTCCAACAAGGTTCAATAGTAACGAGGAGACAAGTAACAGTGCTGCCTGCAATCACCATGTGTGATAACCAAAACCATGAAACATTTTCATTGCCAAACACAAACTTTTTTATCGCACGAATATTCAGATTCAGTTTGACTAGAGTTTCATCCGTAGTGTATTTTATTTTATTTTCCTCCTTCTTTGATACTCTTTTCAACTTTTTCGAAGATATGGAGAGAGCTATAACAAGAGACCTAGTGTCTCATATTCTTCAGTTCTCAGTGCATGTGCACAAGGCTGTTAGTTTTGCAGCTGAGCTTGACTGGTGAGCATTTTGATATAAAGAATTCTTCCTTGTTCTCTACTGTTCCCTCTTAACATTTATTTTCTGCTTCCGTGTAGCATTTTAGCATTAGCCTTGGTTGCACATCAAAATAACTATGTAAGGCCAAATTTGACTGCAGAAGATTTGCTTGATATAAGGAGTGGAAGGTAAGAAACATGAGAATAACTGAGACTATCCTTTTTATTACAATGCAGGGTTACCATTAGGGCATCTGCTAAGGGGTTCTGTTTTATATATTCGTTTTCCAGACATGTTTTGCAGGAGATGACTGTAGACACATTTATTCCCAACGACACAAATATTACTCTTGAAGGTATAGTGGAATGTCCATTGAAGAAGCCATTTTGATCTCACCGATTCTTGCCAAGCACTATATCCTGTGGCTGAACATTATATATTTTCCAGGAAGAATTAATATCATCACAGGCCCTAATTATTCGGGAAAAAGTATCTATATCAAGCAGGTAGAACTCTCTCTCTCTCTTTCTCTCACTTCACACAATGTTAATTTGGTGCTCTGGAATGTTTGTGTACCTAAAACTGAATAAGAACCTGCCTATCAGTTAGGAGTCGTTTGGTGTGAGGTATAAGGTATAACAATCCCGGGATAAAATGCAGGATTATTTTATCCTGCGTTTGGTTGGAGGTATGAGGTAGTCCTTGGATTATTTATCCCATTATTTATACCAGAATGATGGGATAAGTTATCCCATATACACGGTGGGATAACTTGTTCCCAACCAAACAACCTCTATAGTTGTAAATCATTCTTCATATGCTATTTCTCACCACCTATGCCCTTTTATTATGGATTTTACTTAGAGCTAAAGACGATGAACAACAACAACTACGACCTCAATTCAAAACTCATTGAATCAGGTCTATGAATCATGTCTAGCTGTGTCGCTCCATTTTAGACTGCATCAGTCCAATATTTTAAAGCTTAGGTACTTTGGCACTAGAAATCCTCTATGTTTAGTGGCATACAAATCTCTAACAACATCCATCTCATATATGATTTTCTTCTGGTGTGCCCTACGTTGCACCAAATCTGCATGGTTTTGAAGAGACTGTAGATCTCTCAAGACAGCTTCCTTTTTTGTGATTTTAGGTCTATCTAGCCTCTTTCTTTAACACTTACAGTCATTATGGTTTCACACACACAACCCGGTGCATCTGAAAGTCGACGTAGGACGTGGGCAAACCATCTTAAGCGACCTTCTCTCACTTTATCCTCTATGTTTACTGCTTGTATTTTCTACCGAATGTGGTCATTTCTAATTTTGTCCGTTCTTATATGACTGTAATCCATCTCAACATATACATTTTAAATACATTCACTTTATGGATATGATGGACTTTTGAAGTCCAATGTTTACTGCCATGTATCTTTGTCGGTTTACAGACATTCTATAAAATTTGTATTTTACTTCGGTAGGTATCCTCCTATAGCATAATACTCCACTAGTATTTCTTCATTTCAACTATGCTTTTTGAGTCTATGTACCATTTTATGGGAACACCAACCTGAGGTATGTGAATTGTTTGTATTTAGGCACCACAATCTAGTCCAGTGTCACTTTTCTTGTGTTGGCAAAACTTACACCACATATATTCAATCTTATTTCAACTAAAATTAAACCTCAATCTATAGGGTTTTCCATAGTTCAACTTTTTGGTTTACACTCTAGCTAGTCATACTTATCAACCAAAAAATTGGATGATTTACATTAGATATGGCGAAATCATCACAAATGACTCATTTATCCTCTAAGCTACTTGCATCATTTGTCAAATTTTATTATTTCTATATATGTTCAATCGTATATGATTGAATATTCATTATAACATTCACATTGCTACAACTTTATCACCAAGAGTGTGGTTGGGTGGAGTATGGACGGGATTTTTATACCCCACAAAGGTGTGCTTCCCCCTTAATGGATTACTTGAGCAGTTGGACCAGTGGATTCCAGATACCGTATGGTTATTACAAGACAAGAAGCATTTCTACAACCTTCATCTTGTGGGTATGTTAAGCATTAGGCTCAACATCCTCCCATATGATAGTCCTGATCTTGGTAACCATCCCATAAAACTTGATTTCATTTTATTAGGTATCCATCGCTTGGACATTCTCGTAAAACTCTTCCATTTCAACCATTCCTTTTTCAATTACGTTTAATATCTTCATCTATCATGCCAATTTCTCTGGAAGACTGAGCGTACATATCTTATGTCTTTTAAGACACCGTGATTGTCTGATTTCACTTTACTTTGTTCTTCTTATGGTGCTGAACATGCAATGCGTATATTCTGTCTTATTTCTACTTATCCTAGAACACTTACTCACTAGAATGTTTCTCTAGTGTTCCAGTTTTTGTCCGACTTCTTAGCTATAGTTTCATCAATTAATTCAATATCATCTACACGTAAAACACAAATTGAAACTCGTATTTTGTACTATTTGGTTAGCCCTGTATAACTAGGATAAGTAAGTACAAATTTAAGACAGACTTATAAACCCATGGCTATTAGAAGCTTCTATGTAACTTCTTAGTTCTCACATTTATAACCACTTCTTCATTTATATGGAAATTTATATATTAGGTGTTAATTGTTTTCTTTACCCTCCAAAAAACTTTTCTTGATTATTTACTGTACTCTTTCTCTAGGTCAGTGAATATAAATTGGAGATCCTTCTTTCTCTTCTAAATTTTGTCCAATCTTCTTAGAAATTTTTTGTGTCTGTTGTAGATCCATGACATGAATATGAACTAGTCATGTCATTGTTGTAATATCCCCAAGTGTATGTTCAATCATATTTTCTCCAAAAGGTTTATCTTATACTATGATTGTCCGTGCAACTCTGAACATCTCCTCTAGTCGTATAAATTGGAAAAAGGTACTTGTAACAGACAAGGTATGGGAGATTAGTTGATCTTTTATTCTGTGAAGTAACAAGTATACATACGTCTATATTGAGTGATTGATTGATTTTCTAGCTTAACTATAGGAGTAGAATGATATTGTATAAGATGCAACGGATTAGGAATTGATTGTATAATATTGTCTTTCCTTATCTAGTCTTAGGTATCATTGTATTATTACCCATTCTCATGGGATGTATTTTTATGAAGAAACATTTCTTCTTTTGAATCTCAATATAGAATCCAAATCCAAACTATGGAAATTATTAAAAGGAAAATCCTAAAAATCTGATATCAATCCCTATAATTACGCTCTCCAAGTATATTTGCAAGTATAACTACATTCATTCTTTAACAGAATTCTTTCTCTGCTTTCTTAGCATCTTTCTACTTCTTAATATTTTATCGGATAACTCGGATTGCGTTTCCGGTGGTCAGAAGGGCCACCGGAGGTGTGGAGAGAGGTTGGCAGTGGGAAATTCAAATGTTATTGGGAAAAGTGCCTGAGAGCAAAAAAAGTATTCTTTCCAGACCGAGAAGTAAGGTTGTTCAAAATCGAACCGAAACCGGTAAAAAAGTTATTGGTTCATAGTTTGGGTTATTGGTTAAGTGGTTTTGATAACGGTTTTGATTTTTTTGTTATCGCGTTATCGGTTCTTAACGGTTTAACCGATAACCCGATAGTAAATTAAATATTTATATTTATACCATTTTCTATATAAAGTCCTCGACTTAGAGTTTAATTTTCTACTTTTATTTTTTGTTGTCTCAAATACTTGATTATTCTGCGATGTAAAAGTGTTTGCTTTTGAGCAAGATGTAACTTGTGAACTCAAGTGCATGGTTTATTTGATTTGTCACCTTGTTTCTAAGTGATTTTCAATATTTTTTCTTTTGGGTCAAATCTTAACAGTTAAACCAATAACCGAAATGATGACGATCAAAACCCGACAAACCAATAATCGATAAGCTAATATCTTAGTGGTTCTATAATGGTTTAGCATCACTACAAATTGATAACCAATAAGCCAACCCGATAAACTTTAAAGTCGAACCGAACCGACCGATACACAGCCCGACCGAGAAGAATTCCCCCGGAAATTCTTTTTTTAATAATTGGTTGCTATGAGATTCAAACCAAGGAACACTCACGAACTCGTAATGATGTAAACACCGATGAAACAGGTCACTTATCCTCAGTGTTTACCAATTTTCTTCATCTTAAAAATACTTATATTGTAATGAATACAGTTTCCATATTTGCATCCACTTAAGCATTTTCATTTCAATAAATATCTTAGGTTGCCTTGATAGTTTTCCTTTCCCACATTGGAAGTTATGTACCAGCAGATGCTGCCACAGTGGGTCTAACTGACAGGTTTCTGCACTTCTTCTACTGGTTTTAGTTCAATTTTTTTTTGATACAACACCATTTTCTTGTAAAAAACATATATTCAACTGCATTCTTCAACGCGAGGACACAATTTCCAAGGAGTGTCAACTTTGCATTGGTTATATTTTAGGTCATCTGCTTGTTGTTGCCTAATATGTGACAGAGTGATAGTAACACTGGACAAACAGGATATTTTGTGCCATGGGGAGTAAATTTATGACTGCAGAGCAGTCAACATTTATGATTGATCTTCATCAAGTGGGAATCATGTTAAGGTATTCTTTCAGAAATTTTGCATATTGAAGGATTTCATCTGAACATAGACCATGGTTGATCAGTAATTCTGAAATTCAGAATGCTGAGTTATGTATCTATGTTTATTATCAACAATATGTTTTCTGACAGCATGGTATAATATAAGTATATAAAATGACACACATTTATGTGATATGTACATGTGCAGACACATAAACAATCCGTAACTAATTTCACGTGAAAATCATTTTCAGGCATGCAAGTCCTCGGTCCTTGTGCTTAATGGATGAATTTGGTAAAGGCACCCTCACAGAAGGTTGGTCTTTCAAGTATTTGGCATTTCTGTCTCTGATTCCAAATCTTTCATTTATAATGTGCTTTGATATGGAAATGTTGAAATCTTCTGAAACATAATAATAGAGTAAATACATGAAAAAAACCCCTGAACTTGTCCACTAAACTTACTTTAGCACTTTAACTTTACAAATAAGTATTTATCCCCCTAATCTCATTTCAAGTGAATAAATCCACCCGAACAGCTGATGTGGCAAAAAAATAATTAAAAGAGAGTAAAAAGTAATTTCTTTTTTCAAAAAACAATTAGGACTCTTGTTTTTCTTTCCAATCAATAAGGTTTCATCTTCCTCACACCCCACCACCTTTATCCATCAACAGCCCCCACCCTTTCTTCTTCTCACACTCCATCACCACCTTTATCCACCAAAAGCCCCACCCTTTCTTCTTCCTCACACTCTATCACCACCGCCGCCCTCAGACTTGCACCACTCTCCCTTCTTCGACAAACCCGCCACCTTCTTTCTCCTTCTTTGAAATCCTCCACCCCCACTCTATTTCTTGTTCTCCAATCCCCCACCTGCACCCTCTTTCTCCTTTTTCGAACCCCACTGCCACCTGCACCTGCCTCACCCCTTTCTTCTTCTTATGCTTGCCCACGTCCCCGCCACCTTCTTTCTTCTTCTTCGAAACACCCCCACACTGTCCTTCATTTCAAATTATTCTTCCTTTTTCTTACAAGTGATGAACAAGAAAAAAAATGAAAAAGCCAACATCTTATTGTTGCATCAAGATCTTACCTATGGAAGGGTTTGTTGGTTGTGATGAACTTTAAAATTTTTTCTTAAATAAAAAACTTTTTTCAATTGTTATTATTTATTTATTTTGATATTGTCTTCTAAAAATTGAATGTTTTCTAGTCTAGGATCTGTAGAGTTTGATTAGCTTTTTTGGAGATTTTATTTTTATAATCTAAAATTAATTCTCATTTTTTTATATTTTTTACCTTTCCTTTCTAAAATGGTATAAATAAGAAAGAAACAAACAAAAAAGAATTAAAAAACTCAAAATTTAAATAATTTTCAATGTGGCGCTGATGTGGCAATGAAATGGCGCGTGTGTAATACATTGGCCACTGTGAGACTGGTATTGTAGTATTAGGGTTGGAAAAAAATTTACTTCAAAGATGTTAAGGGAGTAATTTAAACGCTCGTGTAGTTTAAGTGCTAAAGTAAGTTGTGCCCCGAAGTTCGGCGATTGAATTGATATGCTGGTTCATGCTGAACTCCAGCTGTTTCAAACTGATCTTTATAGAAATTTAAATACCAATTACATAGTGATCTAAGTTGTCTTTTTCATGTGCTAGTGCATGCCGACTTGAGGTTTTTGTTTCTTGTAAAATGATTGAATAACCAAATCAAGTAGTAGAGTTCGTTTTAGCACAAAGGTATTTCCATTTATGTTGGTTGTCTCAGTCATTTTTTTTATTCCTTTCAGATGGTATCGGTCTCCTTGGTGGAACCATAAATCACTTTGTATCATGCTATGACCCTCCAAAGGTCTGGTGCTACTTCCCTTTGTTTAGATAGGAGGGATGAGTGTAAGTGATTTTCCTAAATGCTCGTAAGAATTGTGATGGTAATGGTTGAACATTGTTAGCATATTTAGGTTCAACAAAATAATATGAGAAGTCGTCATCTGCATGGATATTGTATTGGAGATCTGAAGGGACCTCATCCTTGTTGTTTATTACTTTTTGCAAACTGTATGGTTTGCTTGTGTCATCATTAAATTGTTAACGCACTTATGCATCCCTTTTCTAATAAGTTTAAGCCCTCTGTTGGCAGGCCCTTTTGGTCTTCAAATAGTACGATTTCAGACTGATTTTAAAGAGAAGCAGTGTTTCTGCTTCCTTTAACGACAAAACTTCTTCTTTTCATCTGGGAAAACCAGTCAGCGTTGTTTGAGGTTTTCTTGAGGCTGATTGTTTTATGGATGCTTAGGACCAAATGCTCAATTCCCGAAAAGCAACAAAATATAATTTGCCCGACCCCAAACCTGTTGACTAGTGTTTTAAAGGTGGGAGCGAGAGGCGGGGTGTTTTACTTATTATAGGGCGAGGCCTAAGCCTCGAGACGTGGGGTGTAAGTCCTATGAATCTTTAAATTTTTAATATACAAAATAATATAAAATTATAAAAATTATAAAAACACATCAATAGTTTGAAATAAATACAAATATAATTAAGGAAACTCATAGAAAATAAAACTTCTACCATGATTATACAAGTTTAGATAATTTAATATCTAAACATTCTAATAACAAAAGAATCATTATTTCTAAAAATATATTATTATTATCATACTATATAATTTACCCCTAAAAGAAAACTTACTTGTATCATACTAAAAGTATCACTCCATCATGAATAAAGATAAAATTACTTAGCTAAATAAAACATGATAATTTTGAGACATATGACAAAAACATGAAGACCAATGAAAAGTGAAAAAGTAAAATTTCGCAATATTTATTTTTAAAGAACTGTAATGTAATATGTCATCACCCTCACAGTGTTATGAATAGTAATGCTGTGACACTACAACTTGCTATTTGCGTTACTCTCAATTAAAAAACTATTAAGTATCATTTATTTATTCAAGAATTATGAGGGTCAACAATGTTAACTAAATAATTTAGCACATGTAAGATCTGTTAGGCGAGCCTTGAGCTTTAGGCGTTGGACGTGCTTAGGGCGTATAGTCAGGCGTAGGCCTTAAAGAACTAAGCCCCACTCTTGAGTCTCAGGACGTTTTGCTAGAGCCCCTCTGGGGATGAGCCTCGAGGCGAGTCCCAACAGAGTCTTTTAAAACACTGCTTTTGACACTGTCACTGTCCTATTCTAGATGTCAAATTTCACTTGCTCTTGAAATGAAGCATGCCTTTTTTTCCTTCGTCTTGCACTCCAAAACTGCTATTTCTAGCTTAAGCCATCGCCCAGTAAATTTCCAGCAGCACCTCCACAAGTTCATCCTCAACACCAACCGATATGTCCACTACAAATGATACTCAACCAAAGTGCTTACATCACAACTCTGAAGAAAGAAACCAACATGATGAGATTTTTTATTGTAGTGATGACCAACAGCCACCAACTCTCGAGAGCTTCAAGCTCAATTTTTAGTAGCCACGTAAAAGGTTCTCGGAAACATGACCTAATTTCTTGGAAAAAGTTGTGCCTCACTACATGTCTGGAATGTGTGTACTATTATATTAATGGAAATCTGTGGTCATAATGATTTCTTTTGCAGGTCCTGGTTTGTACTCATTTGACGGAGATATTTGATAGTGGTTGTTTACTGGAGGTATGTGTTAATGATTTTGCCTGATGTTTCTTATTTGAATTCATTTTAAAGTTTATTGAGTTGTTGGAACCAAGAAGATCCGTATTTTGATATATTTCAGTCAGACAGAATCAAGTGTTACACTATGAGTGTGCTAAGCCCAGATAAAGGTTGTGCCAATGTTGAAGACATTGTATTTCTCTATAGGTATGCTCATGTTGCACTTTTACCTGATTCCAAGTTAAAATCAACTACTGCGGGACAATGCGCATTTTTCCTTGTTTCCCTTTTATTTGATCCTACAGACTTGAAACAAATTGTTTTTTGACTATGTTTTCTTTAAGTTTGTTTTATTTCTTTTTCAATTCCACAATTACTTATCAGTGACACTTTTATATAATCTATTCATACATATCTCTAATTTTAAAAGTTACCGACCGATAGTAGATTGATAAGATCAAGTTAACCCGTGTAAGCTCAAAATTAATTCATTAATTTGGGTCCAATGAAGTATAATTACTATCTCTCATTTCTTGTTTCTTCTTATTATTTACTTTAGAAAAAAAATTAAAGTATGCTTACTTTGCAACAGTCGAGATTTATGTTGATCTATTTCATCAGGTCTTGCACCTGTTCTCCCCTCGGGTACTGTATAACATGATCATATAGGAAGACTAGCATTGTACTATTTATTGTGCAAAAAGGAGAAGCCAAATGCCAATCCTTTCCCTTTTACTGGCTCCACCTATCACAGGATGAAAAAGTATCTAGTTAGTCTGTTTGTTGTGCAAACTAACTATTCAATAGTGTTTTTTCCTGACTTGATTGTCATAGATGACCACGGCAATGGACAAATGAATCATGCAGGGTGTTAATCACATGACCTTGATGCAGAGTTGTTGTTGGTCCATCTCTTGTTTCAAATTGAGTTAATATCATGTGGACCAATGGCCGACATATCAAATATTAAACTAATAAGAACAGAATACTTTGCACATCATGAATAAGACACAAAAACTTTCATATTTCTCTCTGCTGCAATTCTTTAGGAAGCGTTTAACCCCTCAAAGTGGGGAACTCTTGGCGCGAATCTGAATTAGTTGCTCCCCAAAGAGGGTTCTAGTCTCCTAGACTGGAAAACCAAAAAGGGGAAAACAGCTAGAGTCTTAATTCAGTGGTATCAGAGTAGGCACAGGTCTCGGGTTCGAGTCTCGCGGTCACCCATTATATAATAGATTTTCACATGCTTGTCCCATGAAAATGAACCAGGCCTTACACACTTAAATATTTTCAGATGAAGGACCTTAATGAGTTGTGATGTCTCCTAGCCATTGAGCTGGGTCAATGTTAATCTGCCTTTGTCAGTACACGACATGCGTATATTCTCGACTTCCTTGAGGATACGGGATGATAGATTGTACATGTAATGATGTTCTCCTGGATCCATTCATTAAGCTCTTACTAGGTTTGGGATGCTCTTAGTAATTACAAAAGAACAAAGAGGTTGGTTGACAAGTTGAAGCATCTTACTGGTACTTCTGAACTATTTGCCTTCCAGTTGAGTACTGTAAGTTAGTTTTTGGATTCTTCATGTGGAATCTCTCTACTGAAAGGCTTAAGGTACAAGGATTATGTACGAATAGATTATTCAGTTGTACAACATAAATTCGGCAGAGTTACTTTCTGATGGATGATGTATTTTTGGATAGTGTTCTACTCAGAGATAATATTGATGTCTTAGAAGAGAGGAAAAATGTGATTGTAAAATTTGGTGCAGCAGTTGAATTACCGTAGTGGTGGTGCCTAATAATGAACTCATATAAATCAAATAGCTACTCAAAGAATCAGAGTTTAGAGATTGGTTGGATTAAACTTGTGTAATAATCAAGATACACTTCATATTGTATTCATTTGAAGATAAGAACACAGAAATAGACTAAACACTTGGTGAAAATTAGAAAATGATGCTCCCAGGAGCATCATTTCAAGTTTAATAATGATTAGTTTGCAAATATATTCACCAAGTTCATTACCAGTCCTCCAACTAGCTTACATATGTAGCAAGTTTGGTTTATGCAACTTGTATTTACCCACTTGAGGAGAAGTGACCTTTCTGATGGATAAACTTAGATGTCATTGGCCAAAATTTCGCTGTTAGTATTTACATTCTATTGAAAACAACCTCTCTACCTTCATAGGGTAGGGGTAAGGTTGCGCACACACCACCCTCCCGAGACCCCACGTGTAGGATCAAAGGTATGTTATTGTTGTTATGGTATTTTACATTCAACCTTAGTGACACTTCTGATTCTAGGTTCCTGACATTGCCTAATTTACAAATGACTGTTCTAATATTCGTTTTAGTAAATTAAGGGCTACACACATTGTTTGATGATCTTCTTTCAACTTTTATCATGTACACATGTTAGATTGTTAGATTTTAACTTTTTGTTGTAGTTATTTCTTCTCCGAGAAAGATATTATCACCTACTCTTTTATGCCATGGCAGGTTGGTCCCTGGACGTGCACTCCTTAGCTATGGTAAGTGCAACTTTTGTACCTTGAAGGGACATGCAAATTATAAACTTCTAAAGGACTCTTTTATTCTACAGGGTTGCATTGTGCCCAGCTTGCTGGTAAGTTAAAACATTGCTTGAAAAGTTCCACATGTTGATAGGGCAGTAAATATGACTCTTTGGCCTAAGAATAAGAGCAGCATATATTTGTAACGTTTTTAATGGTGTTGCCTACTTGTATAATTTGCTTATCTTAATCATAATACAAAGTGCATTTTTTCCTGCATCATTGGTGTCGCCTACTTGTATAATTTGCTTATCTTAATCATAATTCAAAGTGCATTTTTTCCTGCAGGATTACCTGAGGAAGTTCTAACCCGAGCAGCATTAATATTGGATACTCTCAAGAATGACAACCAAGTTGAGAGACTTGTCAGTGAGGATATAGTAGCTCAGGATCAGCAGTACAAGGTACAATATCATTTTAACAATAACTAGTTCTATAAATTTTACTCCATTTGCAAATTGGATGCAGGATGCAGTGGAGAAGTTGCTAGCTTTAGATGCTCAAAAAGGTGATCTGCTCCATTTCTTTGAAGAGATCTTTGCTAACCAATCCTAAAAGGGAGGGGGTATCATACTCTTTTTTGACATTCAGTTGTGAATTGGATATATTTTATCATACTCTTTTGACATTCAGTTGTGAATTGGATATATTTTATCAATAATGCAACTATATCCGTGAGATTTCCGGGATTTATAACGTGCAAGGCAAAGTCGGTATGTTTGAGCGATGGAAGGCAAAGAAATTGGCTAGTTTGTTAAAGGCGACTAATGCCATCGGTATGGCTCTCGTTTAGTGTCTACTCTCAAATGCCACTCGTAGACTCTTGAAAGATTATTCCAATTGACAATTTGGTAGCTTCTAACAGAAACCTCTATACCTGCCACACCAAAGGTGTAGGGTAAGAGGTCAACATACACTCTACGCTATCGAAATTGATTTAATGCGACTATAAAATGTGTTCTAATTTTTAAATGTTTTGCAGGATGACAATGGTCATAAATTTATGAAGAAACATCTTTATTTTCTAGACTATCATAGTGACCTTTTTTTAAATTTAATTATTAGATCAAAACTAGAATTTTTTTGTTTATATTATTTTTAACAAGTTATATATAAATTGAGAGCCACTTAAAATGTTCTTTGCGTCCTGGATTAAAATTAAAAATCAGAAAAGATTCAAGTTGACAATTTATTTCGCATTTTAAGCCGAAACGCGTGCATTAAAGTAACATTTTTTTAGCTTATATACAATATACCTACTATATAGTCAATTTTTAAGGACTTTTAGAACATGCATGAGGTGTTTCAAAATAAATTATATTTCATTAGTTCCTGATTAATTAATTAATTAATTAATTAATTAATTAATGTAATTTCTCGTTTAAATTGTGAAATTACTTAATTTGGTCCAAACATAAGGACTTTTCCCTCGAACTTCCATTCAGTAGAATAAAGGTTAAATTAATGTTTGTCATACAAGAAATGTTGTTTAGAGAATATTTTCTTGAATAATACTAATAATAGTACTGTATATGAAAATTTAGGTCTTAAAAAGGATTTATATAATTATATTAAGTGATAATTAAAACAAGTACTACGATGTTAAACCTTTAGTTAAGATAGTCCTCGCGTTAGTGATTTCCTTAATAATCAAGCATTCAAATAACTCGTGATTTGATTAAATTATATTTCAAGTTATGAACAAACCAAATAGCGGGGATAGCTCAGTTGGGAGAGCGTCAGACTGAAGATCTGAAGGTCACGTGTTCGATCCACGTTCACCGCATTTTTTCACCTCCTTTCATTCCGTTTATATTAATTTTTCCCACCTTTTTTCCCTTCTCTTTTTATTTTGTCGATTTAATATTACTATAATAAAATGCAAATAAACAATGCGAAATTGAATAAAAATAATTAATAATTTGATCTAAAAATGTTCTCTATCGTTAATAATATGATCCAAAAATGCCCCTATTATTACTTAATATATTAAAAATTGTTTTGTTGATAAATATATATATTTTTAAAATTATATTTTATTGTTAGTAAAGATTCCTAATGTTATATCCCCCAACCCCTAAAATCATTCTAACTAATAAATATATAGAAAATAATTTTTCTTTTTTGGGAAAAAAGTTGGGAATATATCCAAATTTTGATCGCCATTACTGTAACAATTCCAAACTTTGGACATGACCTATTACCCACCTATACTATTTAATAGTGTATTTTAAAGATATATAAGTGTCCAGCTGGACAAGTTACTAGTAATAATGATGCAATATTTATGATATCCACGTGGACAAACATATATATCTTTAAAATACACTATTAAATAGTGCAGAAGGTTAATAGGTTCCGCCCAAAGTTTGAGATTGTTACAACAATTTCGGTCAAACTTCGGATATTTTCAAACCATTTCCTTTTTTTCTTCATAATCTTATTTTATCAATTATTATATAGTAGCTATGTATACCCTTTTAACTAATAATATAGGTCGATAACGATAACTTTTCTGATAAAATAAAATATATATGTATTTCTTAATATTTTTTGAATTGAAGTAGGACAAATGTTTCCCACTAAAAAAAAGTCATCATTAGGAAATAAATAGAAGAATTTTAAAAATGACTACATTTTGGGTTTAATTTGATGTCTATAACTATAATTTATTTAATCACAATTCATAGCTACATGTTATAGGAGGAGAGAGGCGAGCAAGATTAAGATCGAGAGGAGAGGGCGAGTGATATTGGGAATAAGGAGGAGAGAGGGAGCGAGCTCTGGGAGAGAGAGGAGATAGATACACTTGATTTATATATCTAAGCGATAATTATATCTTGGCTAATAATTGATGCAATTCATTTGCATAAAAGTAGCTACTAGAAGGAGGAGAGAGGCGATAAAGGTACAACTAATTTGTATATCTCATCGATAATTGTATCACAAATATAACGATATGAATTAATAAATACAATTGTATTGTTGTGTCACGCCCGAAGCCTACACATTGAACGTGAGTGACACTCAATGCCATCGCGCTGATCTAAGCATACCCATAACATTGCATTGAACATGAACATACGTTCAAACATAAGCGAAAGAGTACATTTGAAAGCATTTGAAGAGAGACTTTTTGTAAGAACACAAATTAAGTAACGCAAGTCATAGAAATTTAAAATCATTGTCAAAGGATGCAAAAGTCCAAACATAACATGACTATTTATATGTCTATGAAGCCTTTTGGCATAATTGAGAAGTGTCTATCGATACAATGCCCCCAAATATACATTGTATTCATAAACATGAAGTACTAGATATATGTACACTGAGCCCGAAAAACATAAAACACCTCACCAATAGGAGAAGATATGAAACCTCGGGAGCAGCCTGATCACATGACTGTGTGCCTGAGTTTGCATCAATAAAAAAATGCAGCGCCCCCGACAAGAGGAACGTAAGTACATATGGAATAATACATATATATCAAATCAAAAGAAGCAGTTAACATAGTCATAATTGTAGGATATAAAGGTTAAGATATAAAGCCGTTCATATACTGCAGTATGAATATTTTCTTTTTATCATATTTTGGCTCATTATGAGAATCTAATAGTGTAATGACATAAACCATCATGTGAGCACATGGAGTTTGATCTTGGCCTTTCACGATCCAAAGTATATCCTAAACATGACATGGAGTGTAAGACCCCGAGAGGACCTACACAAATCTCTTGACATATATACAACACAATACAATAGAAAATACAAGAATTAAAGTAATAAATCTCATATTATTAAGAGTTTGACATAAATGCACAAGACTAATCATAGTCTTGACAAACCAATCTAATACATCAAAAAGTGGTTGGGATGTAACTCATACATCGAGTACAATATCTAAAAAGTAAAGACATAAGAAAATATAGTAAAGGTAACATGGTCTCGAAGTATGAGGATTCACCAAGTCTTCACGATCAAGTAATCAACTAGACACGTACAAGAGGAAGAGAAGTGTCGCACCCTAAATATTAAACAATGTAGACACAAATATGCATTGGTACATGAAATGTTCTAACTAAGGGTAAATGCATGAAAACATAAGAAGTGATTGATTAGTAAGAGATTTTAAATCATTTAGGGATTTATTTTTATAGTATAAATGTCCTTAAATGTCTAATTTATATTTTGAACTGTTATTAAGGTGTTGATTTGCAGCATTAAAGTCTAAGGAGCAAGACAATGACACTACTAGACAGAAAAGAACAAACAAGCTGAAGAATTAAAGAAAATAGATCCTCGAGATAGCCAAGACCACTCGGCTAATCGCCGAGTGGCTCTTCACCCTGCCTAAAGTTACAGCTCACCATTTCTAAGAAAGTGAAATTGGGCGAACAACATTCCCTAAAAGCTATTCGCTGGTTGGATCGACAATGAGGGGATAGTTGCCAAAGTTTACAGGACCATCAGTTAGGACGCAAGTACAATAACGATAAAAAGAGAAGAAGGCACATCGTTAAACTGATCAGCAACCTAGACATACACCATCTAAAGTTACAGCCTGAAAAGTATGAAAGCTCGAGTAAGAAGGTGATGGGTGAGAGCTATTGACGACTCGCCGAGCTTTTGACGAGGCACGACTTTACTCGCTGATTCACCTTCAAAAGCCAAATTTTGTATAAATTGATTCTTTAAAAAGAGAGAGGGAAATTTTCAACATTGTGGAAAAAGTAACTTTGAACGAAAACACTGTATTGTTGGTTTTCGAGACTATTTTCATGTAGATTTGGATATGTGTTTTGTAAATGAAGCTAAATTGATTTATTTTAAGGATTTGGAAATCAAAACCCAACAATGGAGCATGTAATAGGTATTGAATTTTCACTTTTTATGATGACTAGCTAAAACCCCATTCTTGGGGTTTGACTATGTGATTAATTGCTTAATTTAGGGTATGGGTGTTAGAGATTATTGATCGTATTTCTAATTTTAAGTGGGTTTGATTTATTGTTGCTGTTAAATTGTTGTGTTGAAATGTATATTTCAGTGGTGTGTTTTATGCTTACTTGAGATAAAGGTGTAAAAATAAGACTTTAAATTAGCATTCTTAGTGATTGGGTTGTTGTGGATTCTACTCGAGAGAGTGAATTCTAAGATCCTTTCTACCTATCTAGCGAGAGAGAGTAGATGAATGAAGTTGTGGGATGGTTTTCTTGTTTATCTTGTTGAGGTTCGAGAGAACTCACTTGAAGCAAGTTAGTTGTTTGAGAGAAAATTATCGCATCTTTGGTCCAGCCTACCCACAAAGATTTAGTAACCCTAAGCAATTAACTAGCACCCATTTGGCGTAATTGACAGTTAATCGGTCACTCCTCCAAGTAACTCTAAATCATTTGATATCTCCTGTTATTCGTCATTGTTGTGATTGTTGATTGAACTCAAATTCCCCTTCCTTACATTGATGTGATCTTCTTGATTTGTTTAAGTGATTCCGAAAATTTATATTCCTACAATAAATTGAATCACATTTACTACTATATAGTTAAACTCAAACTTATACGCTCTAAGTGGGTTCGAACCCAACTTCTCATTCGGTGTTATACTAGTTAATGATCGTCTACACCTATAATCGGATGAGGTGTATTTGAGATGGTAATAAAAATAACGCCATATCTGAAGAGTGGTGTTTTTTA